ACTAGAAATAAAAATCAAAAATGGAGTACGAACCTGAGCAACACAATGAGCACCAGGGCAAGGAACTAAAACTCCTAAGCATTCAAGGCCCAAAAGGGCAAGTGAGGTCAATATTGGACTCTAAGGTTATGCAGTACAACTATTCGAATAAAAAACCCAATTTTTCAGAAAAAGACAAAGATCATCAAAGCTCAAACGATATTCATTCAATTGATAAGTTTGGTCATAAGAGGGTTTGGGCAGGAAAATCACCTCGGCATCTGCGATTTCCAAAATGAAATCACGATGGAGGAAATGCCAGGGGAAAATGTGCGATTGCTGAATAAAAGTTACCTATATATTTATGTGTACTGTAATCGTATAGGTTTATGTCTGCTGCTAAATATTTCACAAGACAAAAAGGCACTAAAAGTTATCTGCAGAAGGTTTGAAGGCTAAAAAACTGGGTGAAAGTGGTGCAGATTCTAACCATTTCACAGTGGGTAGGATATTTGCTACCTCTCTTACTTTTTGGATCATTCAGATCGCGATAAGCTCTAAAACTGCAGTTCATCAATGTTTACACATCTATGTACACGTCTATGTACTAGTTCAAACATATATACATATTTACAAAAACATATTCACAAAAAAGGTGAACTGAGCAAGAGTAAAGCTGCTGAGCAGCTTGAGATGGGATTCGCTGAGCCGATAGTCAAGATCAGCTCACTGCTGGGCTGGGTAATGGTGGCAAACGCAGAGGTAAGTGAACCAAACAGTCACTGAGGATGGTTGTTGGAACACGTTTGACGTTTTGAAGTAGCCGATTCGAATAGGCCCGAACGCCTTGTACTTCCAGACGTGCGAGCATCGGTAAGTTGAGAATCACCATCAGGCCGACTTCAGTCACCTGAAACTTGTCTGACATTAGCCACAAGCGTTTTGAGGGGGAGTATCTTTCCACTGCCACCTTGAACGTAAGAACAGGGCGTAGTAGGAATTGTATATCCGACTATCTTCTCGCATTTGAGCTCGATTGGAGAAGTTAGACGAGGAGAACGAGGAAAGGACGACAGAAAGAGGAAAGTAAACACAGGAACATGCTAGGGAGATAGGATAGCCCTACTCGCTGAAGGAAAATCAGCTTAGGAACAACTACTTTTGGCGTATATCGTCACATTAGGTAAAAGCGCTACGCGCTTTGTCGCGGGTCCCTCATTATGTTGTTAAAGGAGCTATCCACGGGAAAAATCATCCATTTTACGTTGTTGGTTGGGAGCCGTACTCCACGATAAGAAAGGGAAACCCAAAGAAGATAATAAAAAGGGAAACCCAAAATTGCCAAGCCAACAACGTCTCCTTCGATGAAAAACAACTTTTGAACCAGGCAGGCTGTTAGCGTAAGTCACAAAAGTCTGTGCCGTACTTCTGTCACAAATTGCTGGCGGACGAAACGCATCCAACTTCTCCTTGCGTCACAAGAACACTCTTGTTTTAGCCTTGTCACCCATTATTTCACGCATCCTACTATCATCGTTTTGTGTACTATTCTTCATAATTCGAATGCTTGATCCTTGTTATAATTTTTGCTATACAAAGTTATTCCGGTGCCCCCCCCAAGCCCCCCTTCTTCCCAGGCCCCCCTTTGGGTCCGCCCGCCGGCCCTCCGCAGAGTGTCCGTCTTCGGTTTGTTGTCTTTCGAAAACTGAATTTTTTCGTTAGGTTTTAGCGCTTTGTTCCTAGTGATCACCAATTCTATTTGACGCAGTCTGCTTTGAAAGGAATTGCAAGTTTTTCTGTAGGGCGAAGTCATCGAAGAGGTTCAACTCAGGGAAGTGAATTTACGGACAAGAAGACCAATCCAGTCCAAACACACACTTGAATGAGGCGCGACGGAGTGAAAGGTGAGTGCTCGGACTGTTTGTGCACGAATGTACACACTCCGCGGCGTTCACCAATGTGCGTGTCACCGCAGGGTGACTTAGCGAAAAATATGTCCGGACGAGGAATTTTTGCAGGTGTTAGAAATCGTGTCAAAAAATAGGAGTGTATTTGTTCGCTCACACATTTCGACAGAATTTGATGTCAAGCATTTGAATCTGACGACAGTTTGTCAGCCGTGCCAGCACATGATCGTCGACTGCACTCACTCCAGCGAGGCACAGCCACTTCAACTCGCTCAGAAGACCTGGAATTTATTCATTATATCCAATTGGATAAACCCATCAAAAACACGAGATCCATTCCAGAGGTCATTTAATTAGGCCAAAATTTAAACGTATCTTTGCCATCTCGATGATGACACATGTTTCATATTGTATTTGCTTACCTAGGGCACAGCCAATGAATGTTGGAGAGCATGGCGCAATTGTCGAGCGATAACCGCTGCAGTCGTGGGCAGCCCGTGCATATGCCCAACACGGATTCATCGGTGAGTTCACGATTGTTGCCCAGATAGAGACATCTGAATTAAGAGGAAAAAAGTTATTAATAAAGTCGAAAAGAATGACTCCCGGTAATACACTCTGCCGTGGCAGTGAGTCACGGCTTCAAGGGGATGTGTCAATATGATCAACTCAGCAGCAGAATGTGATACAGAATTTCGTGTGGTTTACTGTACCATTACACGCGCATTGCCTGCGGTACCTATTGAGATCTACCCTATCGTCAAAATTTCCTTCACTATATGCTAAACGAGGGCGGAAGTGGTGTAGTGACAAGTGGCGCGCTTACCACGCGAGCGGTCCGGGGATCAAATCCTGGGTCGTGAGTCGCCCGGGCCAACCAAGCCTTCCATCCCTCCGGGGTCGGTTAATTGGTACCAGACTTGTCTGGGAGGATAAAAACACTGACTTGTACATCGGCTGGCCCCCGCAAGTCATTGTATAGGCCACATCGCATTCAAACGCCACTACGAATGTACAAATGGAAGTAGAATGCGTGCCGCATCCCAAAAAGGGATTGATCAACGGCAAATGCTTTATCCTTTTATCCTTTATCCTGAACTTTCTGTGCTCGAGTTATAAAAAACAAGAAAAGACGCTGCGGTATTGCCCTGGGTCGCAGAAAAAGAAGTGGAAGAGAACGATTTAGCGAAAGCGCTTTTGGTTTCTTAGAATGTCAGTGGGGAGAAGAAACGCTCTAAATTCAATTTATTAATCAATACTGCCATTAGTTCCTGTATGAAAAAGTTTGGGTGGTTGCACAAACCTCTTTAGCTGCGAGGAAAACTACGAGACGGGCACTGTCGCTGCGCTTTCTTCTTTAACCCTTTCGGACCTGAATTTTTCCCCGTGGAGAAATTTTTCTTCTAGCTATTGTTTATTACTTGTGAGCATATAGGTATCATTATGGCGAAATTTGGAAGCTATTCGATCACAAACAAAGAAACTAAGAAAGCTTTGAAAATTGGCCCACCTTCTTAGTTTTTAAGCTTATGTCGAAACAATTCGAAATTTCATAGTTATGCCGAAAAAGTTTATAATCTTGCATAACATTATAACCCATAATTTTGATTTAGGAATGGATCTACTTCAAGTATTTTAAGAAAAAGTCACACTTACTTGGCCGGTTGCGGGGGTCAGCGCCCATTCATTGTTGCACTTGTACACAAATACTTGTAATACTAACAGCAACACACAATGAAATGGCAGGTTTAGCTCATAATTAGGAAGGGGAAGGTTGACTGAAGCAACCTCTAGCAGGATTAGAAAAACCATGCTGTTTCAGCGGCAATGCAAGCGTTTGAATTTGGTGGTGGCAATTGCCACCGCCAGGGCCGAAAGGGTTAACCCATTGCGGACCGCGTGCTGCACCATGTGCAGCGCGCCATCACGCGGAGAAGGATGGTAATCTTCTTCATTTTTTCAGCATTTTGCTAAGTTACAAAATCAGCAGTTTATGCTTTTTCAGACACAGGATATATCAAATATTTTGCGTACTGGTAAATTTTCGATAGATTATTGGCCACTGATAAAAAAGATGACAAAACCTACCGAGGTGCAATTATAACGGCGGTCCGCAATGGGTTAAAAACTCCGTTCAGAAAACCGGCTCAGGCAGTATTTGTGAACGCAGTTTTGAACTCCGAGCTCGTAGGCAGAGTCGTAAATGTGTAAAGATTATTTAAGAGTGCGCCGAGACGCTGAGGGACCTTCGCCTTGGTAAGCCGCACTCCTTGCGCTACATGGCACCGTGATTTGAATGACAGGGATTGCAATACACTGGCTTTTAGATACTGTTGAAGCAAGGCTTTTGGAACAACGAGAATTCAAATGTTAGTTTTCAAATCGTATCTCGGAATATTTAGGCAGCGCAGAATCCTATCTAGTCCTTCACCATTTTTGAATAGCAGCCAATAGCATCATTAATGCCAATATCCCAAACTTTCCTTACGTTAATACCTTCCAATGGAAGTTTTTACAAACAGAGGGTGAATGGTTCGGGCAAGAATGCTTTGAAACTTACCTTCTAGAATACCTCAGATTGTGCAGCTGGCCAAGCAGCAAACCGTCTGTGACATTGACGCACGATGTGAGATCGAGCGTTGCTAGCGATGAAGCCATATCAGTGAGCACCACCAAATCAGCACTCGATATGAATGATCGCTGGAGAGCGAGCGATTCAAGTCTAAATAATATAAAGCGACATCGTTGCTAAAAGTAACGCTCAGAAAATGCTTTCTAAAATCGCTAAGGAGTTACATAGTGTAGTATATATGTTATAAATTAGCGGCAGTATCTGCGTGTTCGCCTGGTTCAGGCAGGGGAAACTAAAACAGGGTATGTGGCGAGGATGATTGAAAAAATTGTCCACTGAAGAGTCAAAATCCACTTTCGACGTTTCATCCCAGTGAAGAAAAGTTACATGAAAAACATGTGAGGACTGTAGCCCCCAAAGTCAAGATCAGGCAATTTTTCGTTGGAATTTGAAGACGATGTCATCAGAAACATGCGTAAATTAAGATTTAAGTATATGTTGATTCTCGAATTTACTTGTTATCACGCCTAGCAAAACTGGACTTACCGTTTTCCTCGTAAAAAGTGAAGGTTTGTAATCCTCAATGAACCACCAGCCGATATTGAGAGATCTCGTCGTAATGACGGTGGAAGCAAAAGCAGTATTGTCTCATCGAGTACAAAGTGATCAAATGTCCATCCTCGACCCTAATGATACTTTTTAGTAGTAGAATGACCGATTTTTTTGGTTTTATTAATCCTTTGAAAACATTAAAAACTGGGGACTAGAGTGTGCTACTTTGACAAGAATGCTGATTATAGCGTAGACACTCTTCGACTCGACCAGGAACCCGCGGGGTACACCAAGAGGCCCGTCAGCGCGGGCAATGAAAGCGCAGAGTTGGCCGCACGAGTTGCATGTGCGTGATTGTGTGCTGCTACATGGTAGGACGTGCATAGGGACACCTCCTTCAAACATAGACGCGAAGTCCCATAGTGTGGACCGGCGTCCTGCTCTTGCGCGCGACGGGCCTTCCTGGGGGTACGCCAGGAGGCCCGCCGACCTCTCGCTGCCGGGTCCAGTTGTGCTACCGATTACACCACCGGGCCACCGCATCACCTTAGGTCACCTTTTGATAATATGTTTAATATTGCTTATCGGCAATAAACCTACTATGACCTAGTTGAGAGAAGGGAATCCAGAACCCCAGTCTCTCGCACCGGGAACGAGGCCTGGAGGGCGGTCTCGGTGAAGACGGCACCCTTACCCCCAACGGTTCCGCGACATTAGTGGAGCGTTTTCGACGAGCGGAGGATTGACTCTGAATCTTGGCAGTATAAAACTCTTTCCAAGGAAGCGACTACCTATTCAGGGTACCGGATATCTTCGTGTCGTCGTTTTTCACCACGAGTTTCCGGACCACCAATATTTTAATTCAGGATCCTTCGAATGAAACAGCATAGTTATCGACTGACTCATTAGCATTTTCCCATTTACCAGTATGAGAGAAAACCTCGTATGATTGAAGCTCATAATTTTTGTATCAAAAAAAGAGAGGTGTGGTTTTGACATTATCCGACAACTCATCAATCTCACCTGCTAAAAAGTTAGGCATGGCCAAAAGAAGTATACTGTTAGTTAGAGTCGGGTCTGTGTTGTATGATGGAAAGCTTAACTCACCAGCTCAACTGAACATTTTTTCTAGGAGTCTTTTTTGCCACATAGGGTCAAAAAAGCACTCTTTTTTGAGCACATGTGAGTAGCAGCTGAGCACATTTATTAGAATTTCTTGTGCAATCAACTTCGTTAAAGCGTTTGTGCATCAACGATCAATCGCTACTGAGTCCCTACCAGCTTTCACCACAAATGCGTTCAGCCCCTTGCCGTCTGATTCAAAGGCAAACTCCGGGATTAAACAGGTGCTATCAGCGCTTTGTGGTGATAGCTTAGCTGCGGAACGACCTGAAAGTGGAAAGGAAAGCAAGAGATATCCTTGGGAACGCTGCAATTAAGGCCTTAACCTTCAGTAGGGTAGAATGTGGTACGATGGCGAGAAAGGGTGGTCAAAGAAGACAAAATACGTCGGCGAGACGCGAGAGAGAGCACGTCGTTTGAGAGAGCACGCTGATCTCTACATCAATGCACGCTGATCTCACCACCTCTCGCGGCGGGTGGATGCGTTGGAACGGGAGTCGATGGTTGCGGGCCCGTAAGGATAGCGCCCTAACCGCGCAGTTTTTGCGACGAAGCTGGAGTGATCCAGTTACGTACGGACCTTACAATTTCCCCGTGGAATCCCTCCTACTAGTCGGGCTAATCCCGGGGTTTGCCTTTAACATAGGGCTCCCTTTCTGACGACATTATCGGGCAACACTTCAAACATCAAATACCTCACTGTCTTTCGAGATAAATCTGTGAAAAAACCGATGAGCATTTTAAATGGTAGTATTCCCTCCAACAAATGCAATGCTTGGTTTGGTGGGCGGAAGTTGTAGCTCTCAGCAAGAATTTTGATGCATTTGGTACACACATGCGAATTTGCACACTGGACCCAGGAATTTTCAAAAAAAGTATAAAAATTGGGGGAAAGTTAAATTGTGAACCAACAATAGAAAACAAAATAAGCAACATATTCCGCAGTATTAATGAGCAAAAAGAAGACTTTTCGAGATACTCGGTTTTCGTGGTCCTGAACTCAGAAAAAGCGGCCACAAGTTATCCTCGGGTGCCTGATATTCAGGGAGCCTGGAACAGGGGCCTTTCTCAGATTTCGCCAAGGACAAGGAGATTCCTTTTCCTCTGAATTTTGACAGTATCAAACGGTATTCTGCCACGATAAACCAACCGTAATTTCAAATCGCTTGAGTTTGGGACTGTGACAGAGCAACTGACGAAGAGCCAGCTGAACGATTGTGCTTCATTCTGCGACTCGAGCAAACAATTCGACAGTTCCGATCATGCTGAACCTTCTGAAAAAGAGGGATACTAGAAACAGGCATTCAAGTGAAGGTATTCCATAATACGTAATAATAAGATATATTAATCTATTATATCAAACTATGCTTCTTCTTATGGCAAAGTTCTCTAAGGTTAGCATAATAGACAAAATTTTTGTTCGCCTTCGAATTCAAATTTTCAAAGTTCCGCTTTTCTGCGACTATTTTCAAAAACCTAAATGAAAGCGTAGAAGCTTTCATTCAGAAAGCCGTAGCCTCGAGCTCATTGTTCGTTCCCTAGAATGTTGCCGCTGAAAATGCCTAGATCTAGAAGTGACGCTGGACACATGCTTTCTTCAGAGTGTTTACATTATAACTGAAACAACGACCCTGTTTGGCTCTTCCTAGGAAATATGAGGTTTCTATTCATTTCTAAAACATCCGAGGTCAGAAAGTTTGTTAGGTTGCGAGGAAAACTCGTCTATGCCGTGTTGTGACATCAAATAGTATTAGATACCTCTAGCGTCGACGGCAATTGCGAAAATGCTTCCACTGCTCCGATGGTGATTATCATTCTGAAATAGGAGATAGAATTTTTGGCGCTATCGCAATATACGGGGCATCTCAGGACTAAGCCTAGGAGGGGCAGGAGCTCGGGAAAATGAAAATGGCTCACGCACCTTGGAGTCTCTCTCCCCGCCTAAGGCTTAGTCCCGTTTTTAACAAAAAAGACATGTTTTACGCGGTTTAAATGCATTGCCGTCACAATGCCCCCGTATATTGCGATAGCGCCACTTTATGGATAAACGGATTTCGTTTTTTCTGCATTTTTCATTCTTCTCCTAAGAAAAGGTTTGTTTATAGAGTCCGCATATATTCTATGTCACTTTTGCACTATAAAAGTGGTGACTAGTGAGGAGTAGTCAACGGGGCTGCTCATGTACCGAGAAACATGGCTAGATAAAGTTGAATCGTAGCAGGAAAGGCTGAAGCTGCCTAGGAACCATCTTTATTAGGTGAACGAAGACTTCGGCTCATATATAGGACGACTCGTTCAGATATACCTAAGCAATTTCGTGGCAGGATGACCTTATCAAATGCCTCCAAATCCCTTCGCGCCTCTGCAAAGTTACAGTTACATGCAGTTTGCTGAGCCACTGGCTAGTGCCTCGCCGTTGGACTCTAGAACTCCTAAGAGACAGGCGGAACACCGCTTCACTTGATGACCGAACCCGTTGATGCCGCTGATTCTCGTCCAGTGTGGAAATCGACGAGAAAAACAGGGGTTTCGTTGGATGTACTTCACATCGTTAGCCATAGTTCTTCTCTGCACAGCTGCGCCATTTAGCACCTCTACTTTCACCCTCAACAAATGGACATTTTAGAGTTCCACTCGCTAAGGTCGGCCTGGAA